ATGAGTCGTTGAAAAAGATTAGACATTCGGTTAAATATGTGAAAGGCTCCGAAGGTAGGATGAAAAAATTTGAAGACTCGGTAAATGCAGTTGGTAACATTGATACGAGTATCGGCTTGAGACTTGATGTAAGTACTCGTTGGAACTCGACTTATTTAATGTCAGAGAGTGCAACAAGTACAAAAGGGCCTTTGCTTCTCTTCGATTGTATGATAGGAACTACAAATTTTGCCCTTCAAGTAAAGAATGGACGAGAGCCGAAAAAATTTGTGAGTTCCTTGAGCCTTTTTATGACAACCAACTTGATATCCGGTTCTTCTTATCCTACTTCGAACTTGTATTTTACTTTCGAGAATTCAAGAATGCCTCAAGGATGAACTTCTAAGAAATATGTGCTTAAATATGTGATGCAAGTTTGATTAGTATTGGGGGCAATATAGAGAGGTGCTTCCATTTGAGACTATTCTTGCCTCAAGGATTGAACTTGAAGTGTTAGTATTTCTACAGCATAGTTGAGCACAATCAGATAAAATGTGAAGAGGCTCTCTCACATGTGAAGGCAAAGTTGGTTCTCTCACATGTGAAGGCAAAGTTATATCAACTCTTTGAGCATTATGTGAATTCTATGGCTCACATTTTTCACAAGCACAACTTTTTCCGCCTCCGTCTACAACATCTACTTTGCAAAGTGGATCGGGATCAAAATCCATGGGAAAAAGAAAGTTTAATGTAAGTATTTAATCATCTTTTGTGGTTTTATTTTTAATGTTTTTTTCTTATCTTTGTAGCCTACAAATTTAATAAATGACTTTTAATATTAAATGAAATATTTTGTTTAGTGTAGGATATTGTGGCATTTGAGAGCCGAAGAGTTACTAGCCGGAAAATCTCAATTGGATCTGTACTTAGAAGAGACAAAACTTAATTTTTATTTAACGAGGATTTGAATGTTTTAGAGTATTGGAAAAATTGTAGAATTGATTCCCGACACTTGCATTGATGGCACGTGATGTGTTTGTCATCCCCATCACCACTACTGTTGCATCGTAGTCGGCAATTTCTATTGGTGCTCGTGTGTTCACAAAATATAGAAGTTGCATCCTCCCCGAAAAAAGTCCAAGCCCTTATTTGCACTCGTAATTGGTTACATGGTTATGTTGTTGGTAAGTTGGTTTCTAAGCACTTTTTTTGTTTAAATTTGTATCTTTCTTTAAATATATTTTATATATTTCCTTTGTAGATAACGATGAACGTGCTTACACAAAAGTTTCATCAAGTAGAGCATCACATTGTCCAACTATCCTTGAAGATGGTGACGAAGATAATGGAGAATGGAACGAGGATTTTAATACAATGGTTGATGATCTTTGAATTTGTATGAGTACTTGAGAAGTTGATATCTTTGTACTTTAAGTTGTTTTCTTTTAAATTGTATGATGATTTGTCCATTGCAAATGGAGCTGGAAGAGTCATTTTTGACAATTCTCCTGGCATAGTGCTAATAATGGACTAGATCAAAATGGCTCAATTAAATTCTAGTGCTTCTTCTATTAGTGAAGTTTCTAGAAAAAAAATATATCAAGCGACGCAATGCACCTTGGGTCGCTACGGAACAACCTCCTTGTATAATTACAAGAGTAAGGTCTGCGTACAACTGACCCCCTAGACCCTAACCAGTTGGGAATATATTGGGTATGTTGTTGTTATGATTGATGAACTTGTAATGTTTAGTTTTTGAATTGTAATGGGGAACTTAGAATGTACTTTTGGCTTGTGATGATGTTGGGATAATTCGTGCTTTTAGTTTTTTTATCATCATTATTGTGGTATTTTTTTAAGTTTAAATTACAGGCAATTTTTTTTAGTTTGCACTACATGCTTTTTTTAATCTACATGTTTTTTAAATTATAGCATGTTTTTAGTTTCTAGTGTTTTTTTTTTTCTATACTGGGCTGCAGTTTGCATGTTTTTTATAGGCTTATAGCATGTTTCTAATGTTTAAATTATACGATTTTTTTTTTCCTGCTGGGCCGCAGGTTTCAAGTGTTTTTTTTTTACATTATTAATGCACAACCCAGTTACAAAAAAAAATAGAAAGCGGGCTGGCCCACCGAGCCCTCGGCCTGTGGCAGGGGAGGGTTGGGCCAGCATTTTACAGGCCCGCCAAAATGGCGGGCTACAGCCCGGCCCGGCCCGGCCCGCCCCGCCGGCCCGTTCTGATAGCTCTAACTGTTCCTCACCAATACACAAAATGGATTCACGCACATAGACTCACACACACACAAACTAAATCAATAAATATGAATACAACAGATATCAAATATTAACTCACCTTTCTGAGAGGATTGCCATCCAGTTTCAAGCATACAAGTTTGGGAAGGGAAGCCAAAACTGCAGCAGGCCAATCTTTAATCTTGTTCTTGGATAAAATTAAAGTCTACAAGTCGAGCTTGTTGGATGAGTAATGGAGAACTAGCAGATAAAACATGTGTTATACATAATCCTAAACTGATATATC